TCCTATACACCAACAACAAGACAGAAGAAAGAGAGATTAAGGATTCGATCCCATTTACCATTCACCCAAAACTATAAGATACTTAGGAATAAATCTAACCAAAGAGGCAAAGGATCTGTACTCAGAAAACTACAGAATACTCATGAAAGAAATTGAGGAAGACACAAAGAAATGGAAAAACGTTCCATGCTCCTGGATTGGAAGAACAAATATTGTGAAGCTGTCAATGCTACCTAGAGCCATCTACACATTCAATGCAATCCCCATCAAAATACCATCCACTTTTTTCAAAGAAATGGAACAAATAATCCTAAAATTTGTATGGAACCGGAAAAGACCCCGAATAGCCAGAGTAATGTTGAAAAAGAAAAGCAAAGCTGGCGGCATCACAATTCCAGACTTCCAGCTCTATTACAAAGCTGTCATCATCAAGACAGTATGGTACTGGCACAAAAACAGACACATCGATCAATGGAACAGAATAGAGAGCCCAGAAATGGACCCTCAACTCTACGGTCAACTCATCTTTGACAAAGCAGGAAAGAATGTCCAATGGAAAAAAGACAGTCTCTTCAACAAATGGTGTTGAGAAAATTGGACAGCCACATGCAGAAGAATGAAACTGGACCATTTCCTTACACCACACACAAAAATAGACTCCAAACGGTTGAAAGACCTCAATGTGAGACAGGAGTCCATCAAAATCCTAAAGGAGAACACAGGCAGCAACCTCTTCGACCTCAGCTGCAGCAACTTCTTCCTAGAAACATGGCCAAAGGCAAGGGAAGCAAGGGCAAAAATGAACTACTGGGACTTCATCAAGATAAAAAGCTTTTGCACAGCAAAAGAAACAGTCAACAAAACCAAAAGACAACCAACAGAATGGGAGAAGATATTTGCAAATGACATATCAGATAAAGGGTTAGCATCCAAAATCTATAAAGAACTTATCAAACTCAACACCCAAAGAATAATCCAATTAAGAAATGGGCCGAAGACATGAAGAGACATTTTCCCAAAGAAGACATCCAAATGGCCAACAGACACATGAAAAAGTGCTCGACATTGCTCGGCATCAGGGAAATCCAAATCAAAACCTCAACAAGATACCACCTCACACCAGTCAGAATGGCTAAAAATAACAAGTCAGGAAACAACAGATGTTGGTGGGGATTCGGAGAAAGGGGAACCTTCCTACACTGTCGGTGAGAATGCAAGCTGGTGCAACCACTCTGGAAAACAGTATGGAGGTGCCTCAAAAAGTTGAAAACAGAGCTACCCTACGACCCAGCAATTGCACTACTGGATATTTACCCCAAAGATACAAATGTAGGGATCCAAAGGAGTACGTGCACCCCGATGTTTATAGCAGCAATGTCCACAATAGCCAAACTGTGGAAAGAGCCAAGATGTCCATCGACAGATGAATGGATAAAGAAGATGTGGTATATATGGACAATGGAATATTATGCAGCCATCAAAAGGAATGAGATCTTGCCATTTGCAACAACGTGGATGGAACTGGAGGGTGTTATGCTGAGCGAAATAGGTCAGAGAAAGACATGTATCATATGACCTCACTGATATGAGGAATTCTTAATCTCAGGAAACAAACTGAGGGTCGCTGGATTGTAGGGGTAGGAGGGATGGGGTGGCTGGGTGATAGACATTGGGGAGGGTATGTGCTATGGTGAGCGCTGTGAATTGTGCAAGACTGTTGAATCACAGATCTGTACCTCTGAAACAAATAACGCAATATATGTTAAGAGAAAAAAAAAAAGAAGAAGATAGCAGGAAGGGAAGAATGAAGGGGGGGAATCAGAGGGGGAGACAAACCATGAGAGACTATGGACTGTGAAAACCAAACTGAGGGTTCTAGAGGATAGGGGGTTGGAGGGATGGGTTAGCCTGGTGATAGGTATTAAAGAGGGCACGTTCTGCATGGAGCACTGGGTGTTATGCACAAACAATGAATCATGGAACACTACATCAAAAACTAATGATGTAATGTATGGTGATTAACATAATAAAAAATTTTTTAAAAACCTAATCAAAGGCAATGAGGAGGGGCACCTGGGTGGCTCAGTTGGTTGAGTGACTGTCTTCGGCTCAGGTCATGATCCCAGGGTCCTGGGATCGGGCCCCGCTTGGGCTCCCTCCTCCTCAGGGAGCCTGCTTCTCCCTCTCCCTCTACCTGCTGCTCCCCTGCTTGTGCTCTCTCTGTCAAATAAATAAATAAAATCTTTAAAAAAAAGAAAAAGTCAATGAGGAAAAGCAATACATGAAAGAAGTAAAAAGGGTCAGAGAGAAAGTGGCTGAAAAAGAAGACCCAAAGGAAACTGAACATTCCTACCAGTGTCCTGAAGAAAATGAAAACAGAACAGAAAATGAAAATGAGAACTGAACTAGTATTTAAAACTGTAACTCAAAAAAATTTTTCTGAATGAAAAAAGATCTGAGTATACATGTTAAAGGAGAAAATTCTGCCAGAATGAGCAATTCCAAGATCTATCCTTGTAAAGCTATTAGCCGTGGAAGATTAAAAGAAAAAAAAAAAAATTCTCAAGAGCCTCCAATTAAGACATAATTTTTTTTTTTCTTAAGATTTTATTTGTCAGAGAGAGAGAGAGGGAGAGCACATGTGAGCACATGCGAGTAAGCACGCACAAGCAGGGGGAACAGCAGAGGCAGAGGGAGAAGCAGGCTCCCTGTTGAGCAAGGAGCGCGATGGGGGACTTGATCCCAGGACCCTGGGATCATGACCTGAGCCAAAGGCAGATGCTTAACCAACTGAGCCACCCAGGCACCCCAAAAAATGAATTTAAAAGCCAAGAAAATTAGAATGGCATCAGATTTCTCAAAAGCAATATACAAAGCAAGGCAACAGTAAAATAGCATTTTCAAGACATTTAGTTCATACTGTTTCTTAAGGGTATTATATCCAGCCAGGCTGTTCAACATTCAAGGTCATAGAAAAACAGTACAGAATGTGCTAGAACTCATATAGTCTTATACACATGTGCTCTTCTCAAGGAATCTATAGAAGATGAGCTCATACAATCTAAAGGTCACCTGGAAAACTTTATAAAATGCTTGCCCCATCCTTTCCTAAAGTCAAGCAAAAAACTAAGACCAAAGGGTAGAATTGAGACTAAACAAAACAGTCATATTAATAAATGAAGAGGCCTGTTTTATTAAAAGAAAAAAATTACTTAAATTCATTTGCATTCTTAAGCCATGCTGTATTCAAGAGATACACTTAAAAGGGCTAAAAGTTAGAGTGGACCAAGATTTACCAGGCAAATAGCAATAATGAGATAGAGTTTGCAATTTTGATATCAAAGCAGGCTTTAAGTCTAAAAGCATGAAAGAAGACAAAGGATACTATATAAAGTTAAAATTATACAAGAAGTTATAACAGTATGTATAGACATCAAATAATGCCATCTTCCACCTTATGTAAAATAAAAGCTCTAAGAGTTGCAAGGAGAAATATGGAGAAACATACCAATAATGGAAGAGTTTAACCTATCACTCAGTATACAGGTGAAGTAGACAAAAATAATAATAATAATAATAATAATAGGGTTCATCTTTAGGCTATATATCAAAGATTATACCCTAATAATGGAGAATATACTTTTCAGTGTGTACACAGAACCATCCCCCCAATTAATCATATACTAGGCACAAATAAAATATTAGTCAACTCCATAGCAGATTCATTATGATGTAATAAAACTATTAAAAATGAAATTTAAAAAATTTCTTTATAGAAATTTAAGAACACAACTCTTAGGTGAAAGGGAAAATACAAATTACAGAGTTTGTGAAAAATAATTATAATGAAACCCCTACATATTAGAATCTATGGGATACATTTAAAACAGTAAGATAAAAATTCATAACCTAACACATTAATAAAAAAAATCAAAAGGGCGCCTGGGTGGCTCAGATGGTTAAGCGTCTGCCTTCAGCTCAGGTCATGATCCCAGGGTCCTGGGATCAAGTCCCGCATCAGGCTCTCTGCTCCTTGGGAGCCTGCTTCTCCCTCTGCCTCTCTCTCTCTGTCTCTCATGAATAAATAAATAAAATCTTTAAAAAAAAAAAAATCAAAGAATAAAAATAAATTCAAGGCAGAGAGGAAAAAAACTGTAGATCAGAATAATAAATCATAATCCTGATTCTCGGTGTGGGGCGGGGGGAGTGGAGACAAACCACTAAGTAATTTAACCAAGATTTACAACAAGAAGAAAGCACAAATATAAAAAAAAAAAATGACAAGGAAGAAGTAACTATTGATACAGAGAAACAGAAGTAAGTTATAAGAGTCTACCTTGTATTCTTCTATGCAAATAATTTGAAAACTAAGAGGAGGTGGGAATTTCTTAGGCTGTGGAAATATTCCAGATCAAAAGTGGCTGAAGAGACATGACAACTATATTCATGCTTGACCCTAGACTGAATCTTGCACTGGAGGAAGAAAATGCTACAAAGGACATTGTTAGGTCAACTGTCAGAACTATATATGGATGGTAGATTAGATAGAGCATAAATTTATGAGGTCAACAATTGTACTGTGGTCATGGAGGAAAATATCCCTAATTTCAGGAAATAAATTGAAGTAGTTAGGAGTAAAGAGCCATAATATATGTAATTTACCCTAAAATAGTCCAGGGGGATAAAAGGTGTGTATACACTTGTGTATGCACACATTCATGTATGTACACACACACACAGAGGGAATGATAAAATGATAAAGCAAATGGGGTAAAATGTTAACAACAGGTGAATATAAGTAAAGGGTATACTTTTTTCCCCATTATTTCTGCAAATTTTTTAAGTTTGAAATTGTTCTCAAAAAGTTTTTTTAATACATTACAAAATTATAATTATGGTACTGATCCCAAGCCTATTAAAAAATTTCATTTTTATGGAAAATTCATTCTTGAAAATGTTAAATTCTCTGGAACTTCAGGGAAGAAATGAAAAGAGCTTACCCATGAATAGGAATGCACAAAAGCTTTTCCAGATTAGAAAGAACAATTCTTACAGTCTCTGGTGTTCTGGAAGAGCCAAACTCTGTCACCAAAAGTGATTTGGTAATATCTAAAAGAGAATGTTTTAAATAATCACTACAGTTTAACAATAAGAACTCTTATTTAAAAATGTGATACTTGTAATTCAGAATAAAATAGGACCATTTTTATCCCTCACCCTAGTTGTACCATATTTCTTTCATTCTAAGCCTTGAGGTATTAAAATTCTGATAAATTTATTATCCTTAAGGGGTTGTTTTTATAATCAAGGAGTCTGCTTCTTAGATCATCCCCAAAAAGTGTAGAATATAACCAATTTGCTTGCATGCATGATACCTTTAGTGGGAAACAAGCAAATACCTCAAATATTTAAAAAGTAGAATTAGAAATTAAATAATTTAAATATAGGTTTGAAATAAAACAGAAGTTTGAGTGGTGGCTGACCTCCATTTACTAAATTGATGGATTACCCAATGCTTTCCATTCTGTCTTGGAAACAACATGACTGAAGCTCATAACACACTCAACACTCTCCACTAACAGGCTCCCTGTGTAGCATACCCTACACTTCATCTCCTCCCACCAGTGTACGCTTAACTTGTTCTGAACATGTTTACAATTACTGTTTCTTCTAATAATCACATAATCTAATTAAAAACTATAAAAAGCAAAAAAAATATAAAAAGGGAAAGGTTTAGTTTCTACAAAAGCTACCACATTACTTTGATTATAAGATGCCATGTTTTTTCACATGTTAATCATCTTAAAAATAATGATGCACATCCCAATCTTTGGGGTCTTAGAGTTCTATAAAAAGAAAATGAACTAAAAATCTGCTCTCAAATTAAGTGTTCAAGGAGAAAAATTATAAAAGTGTAGGGGGATTCTGAATTTAGATTGATTTGCAAGTATCTTTAAGCTCTTGATGCACTTAAAAGAATCTGAAATACAAACTGTGGGAAATGTTGGACACGGTTTATGGAAAAAAGGTGACTCAAAACTTCAATGAGCTGTCACACAGAAGACAAAATACCAATCATCAAGGTCATAAAAAATGTAGAGACCTCATTTTTAATGATTCCCGACATTAATAGACGTTCCCCCCCCCCTCAGATTTACAGTCTAACAACTGGTCCCAGCAACATCAGATTAGAGGAATTTGACAAAGAATTTGAGATGTAGTGGCTTAAACAATAAACCATGAACTCCATGGGGGCAGGAAGCCATTCTTATTCATCTTTCTATCCCCAGCACTTAGCAAGCTGCTGAGTCTGAAGTGGTGTTTGCTGGACTACACTTGCCTTCTTTGCTTCCACTACCACAGTCAAAACTGTGGTGGAAATAAAAACATAAAGGGAAAATACACACAATTTATGAATCTGTTAACAACTGGGAGAACTCCATTGGTTAACTCAAAAACAATAAAACACATGTATATAATATCAACCACACCAAAAATGAGAGGATAAACCTACCTTCCTGTTGTGAAACCTGTAGTTTTTGACCATTACAAAAGGCTCCCTTTCCTTTCCTGCCAGTATACATCTTATCCTCCAGGCAACTGTATACAACTCCAAATTCCATCTGCAGAAGGAAAAAAGTTTCCTTTACCAAACCTGAGTATTTTTCACCATTAAATCAATACTTTTTGTTAAAGGCAGTAACAAAAAAATCTACTATATTGAGAATGTTTTCAAATAACTACTATGGGATACTTAAAAATGATAATTTCCAGCTTACACAGAGAAAGGAGGTCATCAGACTTGAATCCTTGACTCTTGCCCCTTCCATTTCTCAACTTAAGAGCACCCACCTTGACCTCTCGCCCTCCTGCCCCAGGTAGGTAAATATTTCCTACTTCCTTCCATATTATAATTCCTACCCTCTCAAATGTCTCTGAAAAACTCCTCTATCAACTGATCCTCCTTCTCTCAGATTTTCATTCTGGTACTTTCACACCAAATTTCTACCTCCCCCACAAAATTTTCAAGATGTTATCTTCTCCTTTTCCCTTCCCTGCCAAAGGGTAGTCTACACTTCACCTCTCCCATTCTCCTCTTAATAAAAATTACAATTTGGCTTCTGCCCTGATCACACACACTTCTGAAACTTTCCCAAAAGAGATTACCCAGGAACTCCTACTAACCAAATGCCATCTCCAAAGCACTGGAGACTGCTGACCATCATCCACACTTCATTACTTAATCCAGTACCCCCATGTTTCTGGCAGATTCTTAGTCCTACCTCACTCACTAATCTATCTTTGTGTCACTTTTTCGAAAGACCTTGTTCTCTGTCCAACCCTTAAAAGTTGTGTAGGTCAGGATTTGTTCACTCTTCCATATCTTCCATTCCCCTCTTGGATGTCTATCTTCTTAGAGGTTTGTTCTTTCCAGTCCATAAATTCAACTACCACCTTTAACTGTGGCCTGTTACACCTGTAATCCCATTGTCACAGGTAAGAACCTATGCTTCAGCTCATCTTGCAGAAACCTCAACCGAAGAGATCAAAGATCACTCATTACCTCATCACACCTCATTCCTTCCCCACGTGTCGTCTTCTTCAAATCTCATCTTGAAAGCACTTCTTGATTTTGGCATTTCCTCAGCCACCCTCACTGCCCCATCTTAGTTCAGAATCACCCAGCCTGCCCCTCTGGTATGATCTCTGCATTGCTAGAATTATCTGTCACTCTGTACTTGAAAAACCTCTACTGGTTTTCTACAGCCTAAAAACAAAATCTAAATGTTCTGACATAGGCCATAGTGCCTCACAATAAAACCACAACTAACTCACCTCATCAATTCTGCTCCTGCCACTTTCAGAGTTTCACTCACAATGAACATCTCGTTCCCCACACACATCATGCTCTTCTCCAAGCTGTTCTGATTAAAATGCTTTCCTCCTTTTCTTCTTTAATCTGAAAAACTCCTACGTTTCTAAAACCCAACTCACATGACCAAATTCTAAAGACCCCTTCTGTATGAAGATTTCCCCAAACCACTCTTGGGCAGAATCGGATACACCCTCTTCATGTTCCCACGGCATTGTTTCATAGTTCCACTACGTATTTATCTGTTCGCACATCTAACTTGTGCATGAACTGCGAGTTAGTTCAGTGGCAGGGACAGCACATAGCCCAAGGCTGATTATATGCTAAAGGTTCCTTTAGCTTCTTTCAGATGTTCTCACTAATGAGCGCAACCCTGTGCCTAAGATGTGTTTTTATTTTCATAGATTTTTTTTTAACTCTCTTGTGTACATGCTGATCAAATATATCACAAGCTCCTTGAAGACAGGTGTGTAAGATGTTAGTAAACATCATTCATTGTTTGATCTATCAAATAGCCAAACAGCAAGGAAATGCAATTGCTACAGATCGTATTCTACTGGGTTTTAGATATAGCAAGTATTTGGGTTCCTGAACATACTGAGCATTTCCCAACCATGTTCTGGCCTCTATCACTTTCTGGTCTTTCAAAGTCTCCCTTCACTGACGCCTATTAAGGCATTCCTAGCTCAAATCCCACCTCTTCCATTTAGCATTTTAGATCACACATCAACTCCTATCATATCTGACTCTATCACATATATAATGGTGATTAAATACTGAATTGTATTTCAGTTACTTGCATGTATTTTTTCCTTTTAATTATTGCTTCTCAGACATTAAATTTTCTTTAATGGAAAAAGTATCATGCCAATTTTAACAGTTCTGCAGCTTACTTTGAAATAACGCAGTTATATAAATTGAATATAGAGACAAACCTAAATTTATTACAGACACATGTACTCTTTCTCAGAAAATAGGAGCAAGGCATTTTACCACAAATTTAAACAGCGTACCTTTTTATTTACAGTAAAGCCAATCGAAACAGCTACAAAAGGAAACCTTTAAAAAAAACACACACACATACAAATTTACCAAGATAAAATTATTTTCAATAAACATGTTTTTTCATAATGTAATTGACTACATAACTTTTCATATAAATAGTCTCACCCCTCCTCCCACAGAACAGTGTGTATAGTACGCAGCCCTCTGTGTAAATAGGGGGAATATGGGGAGAGATGGTGCATATACATACATACAGGATGCTTCTAGCTTCTACAGGCATGAAACATCTCTGAAAGAATTCACAAGAAACTGGTAACAGTGGCCACCTCCAGAGATGGGCCCTGAGAAACTGCGGTCAGAAGTGGGAAGGACACTTTGCACTGCATGACATTTTATATCTTTGGAATGTCAAATGCAACGAATATAGTAACTGTAAAATTTTTTTTTCAAAAAATAAAAACAAATTAAAAAATTTTTTAATTGTTCATGGTTAAAAAGTCTCTTTTCTTTGGTCATTTCTCCCATAGTCAGGACCTATAAACACAGATATCAAATTGTACAGAACGAACTGTCACTTGTCTTTAATACCACTTGGGAGTTTCACATGTGAAAAGTAAACCATTAGGCACGGCTATTGCTATGGCTGCAGGACAGTCTGAACACACAGGCTGTAAATTCTGACTCAAGAGTCAAGATGAACAAAATAAGAAAAATGTGTTCAACTACTGAAAATAAAAAGGTTAATATTTAATAGTTTTCATTTTAACAAAAATGGGATCATAGTATACACTCTGTATTAGAATCTTCTCTATCTTATGTCATGAGCATCTTTCCACATTAACACTCTACATATAGATTCTAGATCTTCGTTTTGCAGACTTTAACAATTCTGTACTAGTAAAGATATGTAGAGCTACACGGCAACTTCAAATGTAACATTTATGTGTAATCCCAACAAACCAGGCTACCCATTTTAACTGTCACCGGCAATCCCTCAGGCTTTCTTTTAGTGCTAATATACTGAGCTACATACTTTGTGCCAGGCACTACACTAAGTTCTTATATATAAGTATTACTCACTGAATCCCATGAACAAACAGTTCTAAGAGGCAGGTACAATTAAGATGTCCATTTTACACATTAAAAAACAACAATGGAGGCTTAGAAAGATTAAATAACTTGCCTAAGGTCACAAAGCCTATAAAAGCATCTGGAATCAAGCCCAAGTCTGTTGATCTTAAAAGCCCATGCTCTTTTTAATAGTTTTTTCTCCCGGACTAAACCTACTCTATATAGACAACATTCTATGTGACCCCCAAAATTGACTCCATTAGTTCCTTAATCTCAAAGCAGCACTGTTGCTTGCTTACATTTTTATATGGCTCCACCAGTGAGAAAAAAAAATGGTGAACAGGGCCGCTCGCTGCAAAAGTCCATGGCATGAATATTTCATCATCTCTTCCATATCTGATGAAAATTCTGCATAATACACTTCACTCTACAAATTATACAATTCTCTAAAGTATCTAGGTCCATTCAGTTAGTATACAAACAAGTAATTACAATATTAACATTTTAAAACATACCTATGTACAAAATTCGTTGTTCCATCAATAGGGTCAATGATCCATGTAGGGCTGTCAGTTAAGACACTTTTTTCCCCAGCTGCCACAGATTCCTCACCAATGAAACTAAAAGCAAGGACAAATTCCAAATCTTCACACTGCTTTCAACAATTTTCAAACCTAAACATTTCCTTAGATTCAGAGTCACTTTAATACATAACAAAAGTCCATATACCACTTTCCTATTGTTGTTCCTTCCTCCTTCAGACTGATAAAGTGAGAAAACTTTATTTCCCCCAGAGCAAAGTTATGTGAAAAATAAAATTCAAAATTCTCAAATGCAATACCAGGGTAAATAAAGGCACTCACATGTGTGTATGCACACACATTTGTTGCAAATGAGAACTTACTAAGGAAATGTGGTTTTTAAAAATAACTCCACAAATTCTCTCACGCTCTTCTCTTTAAGAGGTAGAACCTAACACCCCTTGCCTTGAGTGTGAATTTGAACTGAGTGACTCTCTTCTAACCAAGAGTCAAAGCAGAAGTTACAATATACAACTGTGAAGACTCGTTCATAAAAATGGTACTGTGGTTTCCATCTTATTTACTCTATTTCTCCCTCTGTCCCTTTCCTTTTCTTGCCCCAGGGGAAGCCAGCCACCATGTTAAGAGCTGCTCTATGGAGAGGCCCACATGGAGAAGAAATGAGGGGAGCTGCTAGCAGAAAACCCAGGAGGAACTGAAGTCACCAACAATCCCATAAGTGAACTTATCCTTCAGCCCTAAAATGCTACAGCTCTGACCAGCAGTTTGACTATAACTTTATGAGACCCCGACCAGAACCATGCAGCCAAGCTACTCTCATATTCCTGACCCTTGAAAACTCTAAGATAATAAATGTTTGTTGTCTAGAGCTGCAAAGTTTTTAGGATAATTAGCTATGCAGCAATAGACAACATAGAGAACATTAAATAAGTCAATGAAAAAGCAAATTACCCACCAAAATTACTGTGTCTACATGCCTTCCTAAAACATGCTATGCAATAAATCTCAGGTGAATTTTGTAAATGGTGTCTGAGTTCATTGGTTTTCTTTTTATTTCTTTTATTCATTTTCTTTCTTTTATTCAATACTGAACTATCCTATAATCAGTATGATTTTCTTTCATCCCCTTTTCACTTAGCTGTAAACCTTTTTACTAAGAGGAAGTATATTTAGCCACAGCTTTAAACATTTTTTCTTCTCAATGGCTAAAATATCAGGAACAGATAATGGCATGACCAAGAAATAGAAAATCAGGGGCACCTGGGTGGCTCAGTTGGTTAAGCCTCCAACTCTTGATTCCAGCTCAGGTTATGATCTCAGGGTCGTGAGCTCGAGCCCTGTGTCAGGCTCTGTGCTCAGCGGGGAGTCTGCTTGAGATTCTCTCTCCCTCCCCCTCCACCCACCCCCACCGTGTGCACTTGCTCTCTATAAAATAAATAAATCTTTAAAAAAAAAAGTAGAGAATGACAATGTTAAAACTTTAAAAGGATGACAATGTTTCTGCTATATGTCTCTGTAAGACAGCCCTGATTGTAGTGTTTTCTCTCAAACTCGTTAAAGTTACCAACACTCTAACACATAAAAAAGTTTGCAATATAGAGAATAAAACTTCTAAATCATAACTGTGGCAGACATTTGTCATATTAGCTTCCCAACATCCAAACACTCCTCTTACTATGAAGGAATCCAAATACCTCCTGTTTGTTCCTTCCTGGCAGCTTGAGCTCGGGCAAGCAACCGGAGTTCAGCAAGACATTCCTGCTCAGGATCTGTAATCTTGAGATAATGAGGCAAAGATATCCAAAGGCAGCAGTCATGAAGCTACCACCGGTGGCATCTGAAGCAATGGCTCTGACTTCCTGACTTCTGCCTATGCCCTGCTCTCGGGGCTCCTGAGCTGCCCAACACTCTCCAAATAAATTCCTTTTCAGCTTAAGTTAACTAAAGTCAATTTCTGTGTCTAGAATCAAAATTTGTCTAGTACATTGACTCTAAGTTTCAATTTATCATGTGAAACTAAAATAAAAAATACCTGTGAGATGGATACTTTTCCTTTATGGCAGATATAAGCATTTTCTCAATTTTTTGGTCAGTAGCAGTTACCAAATCAGCTGGAGAACTTTTAATCATGACATTCATTTCACTTTTTATAGCTTCACGAACCACCTAAAAAGATTTTTTGATAAGCAAACAGAAAAGGCATATATCATTTTAAATCAAACTAAAAGATGAACTATAGAAGTGGTTTAAAACATTCAATCTGTCTGAAATGATGTTCTTAAAAATGTCTTACCACAATGTATATAAAATAAACTTACAGTGGTTATGACATTCTAGGTACAAAAGCATACAATCTTACATCCTATTTTAAATTCACATTTGTCATTAAAAAGGTTTAAGGACATAAGAGTATTGACTCCATTGAAAATGTTTAGTAAAATGAAAACAAATACAAATGAATCAAAATGCATGTGTTATTTCACAGGACAACCACATGCTGTCCACATCCATCACATCATGGCTGACAAGATTTCAGTTCATACCTCTCCAGCTTCTCTTGCTAGGGTTACTGCATAATCCATGCATTCCTGCCAAGGATCAGCCATCTTCTGAATAGATTTAACACAAGTCAGGACAAAGCAATTAAAAATCTCTAAGTCTTAATTACAGAATAGTTCAGAAAAACATCTCGATTAGCACAGTACTTTCATTCAGGAAATGAATCACATGTACAAAATCACAAATGTAATTGCCCTCTTCTTGGTGTTAGAGTTCAATGTTTCTCAAGATTCACTGGTAAGTCCATTAAAAAATATTCTTACCTAAACCACTTCTAGTGTAGAAACATTTACATAACAAACACCAAAAAAAACACTCTATAAAAGTGTTTCCCAAAGTGCCCATAACATAACGTTTTAAAAAAACAACTCGGGGCGCCTGGGTGGCTCATTCGTTAAGCGTCTGACTTTGGCTCAGGTCGTGATCCCAGCGTCCTGGGATCAAGCCCCCGCATGGGGCTCCCTGCTCAGCGGGAGGCCTGCTTCTCCCTCTTCCACTTCCCCTGCTGTGTTCCCTCTCTTGCTGTGTCTCTCTGTCAAATAAATAAATAAAATCTTTAAAAAAAAAAAAAAAAAAACACTCGATTGGGGGATGGAGAAGAAAGGACACGTAAGTATTTTAAAAGATAGGTGTATGTTTGGGTAGAGAATAAAGTGAAAATAAAAGAACATTGGGAATGCTGAAATTAAAGAAGCTTTGAAAGGAAGGCACAGAAGGTATATACTCAATTCTGATGTGAGGAAAAGAATATTCCAGGACTAAAAAAATAATAAATTTTCCAGAAAAAAACCCATATTTTTGTCTTTTGAACTGTCCAGTTTTCCACTGACTTCTGAAGAGAATACCAAAATAACTCACCACTCGCTTGACCACACTCTAAAATCGGAACCTAGGACAGTGAAGCTTTGCAAGTGGTCAGAAAAATGTGCCATCATTTATAAAGCAATCCAAAGGATGCCTGGGTGGCTCAGCTGGTTAAGCACCTGCCCTCGGCTCAGGTCATGATCCCAGAGTCCTGGGATCCAGTATCGGGCTCCTTGCTCAGCAGGGAGCTTGCTTCTCCCTCTGCCTGCCGTTCTCCCTGTTAGTGCTCTCTCCTCTCTGACAAATAAATAAAATCTTTAAAAAATAAAATATAAAGCAACCCCAATTTTGTCACTTTTATAATTGAGAATAACTGACACAGTTTCACCTTAAAGATTACTCAGAATTCCCTACCATGGTGCTCACAGTGTAGGAAAGAGGAAAGGAGGAGAGGGCAAAGGGAAGAAACAGTGAGGTGTTTCTGCTGGTAGTTGCCCTTTTTTTTTTTTCCTAAGATTTTTTTTTTTTTAATGTAAAAGGGAAGCCACTTTTCAAGTTACAGAAGTCACTGCTTAGAGTATCTCAAGAATTGTTTCCAAATTCTTTTTTCTTTTTCCATTCTTACTCCATTCCTCTCTTCCAGGCTTAACATAACTAGATTAACAGAACAGTGCATCTGCTTTGTTGCCAGAAACTTTGCTCAAGCCTCTCATATCTCTGCCTTCTAACAGCACCTGCACAGATATAACTCCTACCAATTCTTCAATGCCCATTTCAAAAGCTACCCCTTCTAGGGATTCTCCATCCAGAATTCATTATTTGTTTAATCATCTGACAGCTATCTGCTAAATACCTATGATACACTGTGCACTGCATCATAGTAAGGAAAACAGGCCCAGTTCACTTACTTGCTAGTGGGGAGTCAGATATTAATAATAAAATCAGACTACATGCAAAATCACAAATGTAACAAAGCCTAAGTAGAAGTACAATGAGAGAACCATGTAACAGAAGAGCTTTAACCTGGCCTTAGGTATCAGATAAGGTTGCCCTGACAACATGATTAGACCAAGATCTGAAGGACAAGTGAATAGGCATTAACTAACTCAACTGCAGGCTCTAAGTGAAGAGTAACTAAAAGGCCTAAGTGTGACAGCTAGGAGATCAAGGGATGAGACTGGGGAGATAGTAGGCATCACCCCAGGCAGGGCCTTAAAGGTAAGATTCTGACTGAGAGCCATGAAGAATCATTCACCACCGCTACAGAAGAGGACAGATTGGAGGTTGGAGGGAGGAGTGGAGAGTGGGAGCTGGGTAGACTGGACTGGAGATTTAGATTTAGGATGCAGTAGTCCACAGGAGACCCGAACGTTGGCTTAGACCGAGGAGAGTGGAGGGAGAGGTGTTTATAGAGAAGTTTAGAGAATGGAGAGATACTTGCTTTAGGAGGTAAAGTTGGGGGGGCATTTAGCAATAATCTGGATATGGATATGAAAGGAAGAGTTCAATGATGCCCAGATTTCCCACTTTTAGCAACTGAATGGATAACAGTGACATTCACTGAAACGGGCAGTAACAGAAAAGAGTCAATTTGGAGATCTGGATAGGGGGTGGAGAGATCAAAAGTTTAATTAGTAGAGGAGGAGAAGCCTTCGTGAAACCAAAAGGAGATGTCAATTAGGCGGCTGAACTAGGGATCCCGAGCTCACAGAAGAGATATGACCTGCAGATATAAATACTATGTAAGTCACCTGAGTAGGCAACGACTGAGTCCCGAGCCTGAGTAACATTCCTAAGGAAGGTCTACACAGTGAAAAGCTGGGAGGACGCTTGGCCTGGAAGAGCCCATAAAGCTCCTGCATGGCACTTAGGGCACTCAGGAATGTCTTCCTTACGTTTTGATCATTTGTGTAGGTGCCTTATATTCACAACTACTTTGAGCATATTTCTTGATGGAAATGAGCATATTCTATTCACCTTCACTTTCCTACAGACAAACGCCTGAAACATTCCAACTGTTTCTGTCCCGGTCACAGCCTTCCTGACAGTGGGAACCATGCCACCTTCCTGTCCCCTGTCCCCAGCAGGGCGACTGAAGACAACATGAGATGAGGGGCTCAAACTGGGACTGCATGACCCTGGAAATACGCCAGGTCTGAGCTTCCTTGGAATCCGTAACAATGAAAGAGAGAAAATTATTCTACATCAGCTGCCACAAGGGTTTAGAGAGAACGCGGGGGCGAAACCGCTACGCGACGTGGGGCCTGTCGCCGGTGTCACTCGGCGGCCGGGGCTAAGAATAACACGGCAGGGATAAAGGGGCCCCGGCTGCGGCCTCGGACCCCGCGCTCCCACCCACTCCGGCCGCGGGCGCGGAGGCCCGCACCTCCGACCCAGACGGCCCGACAGCCCATATGAAGTCGCAGGAATGCGGGACTTACCTCAACTTGGGGTCCGTCAGACTCACTAGGTTACCGGCGGAATCTGTGCCCGGGTTCTTCCTGAGAGCGAGAAATCTCCCCGACAGGAAGTCCCACCCCTGCAGCCCCGCCCACGTGGGCGTGACTCCTTCGGGCCGGCCGCCCTGAGCGCGCCCGTGGGAGGCTCCTGCCCCGCCCGGCCCCGCTGGCCTGAGTAGGCATTGGAGATTTGGCCTCTCTTTAGTTCTGGTTACAACTTCCTTTCTGCAACCTGCGCAAGAACTTGAGAAATTAGCTTTTTGGTTCTTCATTGTCAGTATCTTAAAATAATCTTGCTAGGGCGCCTGAGGGGCTCAGTCGGTTAAACATCTGCCTTCAGCTCATGATCCCCAGAGTCCTGGGATCGAGTTCTGCATCAGGCTCCCTACTCCTCAAGGAGCCTGCTTCTCCCTCTGCCTCCCTCCCTGCCTCTCTCTCATGAATAAAGAAAATCTTTAAAAAAAATAATCTTGCCAACTGCATAGCGACTAGTGTTGATCTAACCAAATAAAATTTTCCAGGCATTTGCAGAAATGTCACCAGAGTCCTCTTTAAGTCTCCTTTAAATGAACATGGTCCCACTACTTTGGCAAAGCTGCTATAACTAAAATCAACATAAGCAATGTTAAGTCAGAAGATCAAATCTTATTCCTTATTCAAATTAAAATCACTGAACACTTCCCACCTCAAATGAGCAGGAAGTCCTCTTTCCATGGCCCTCAGCTGCTACCTCACAATTGTTCTCAAGTAACCGGAGGGTTTGCAGTCCAAAGAGACCGTTCGACTTCCAAATGCCTGAAAATGAATGAGGAATCCTGTAGTGTACAGGAAAGTCTAGCGCGAAGATCCGGTTTTGGCAGTGTTGCAAACTGGTCCCACACAATCCAAAATATTTTTATTCAGTGCTGTGAGTTTAGAGGGCTGCAGAGGTCTCAGTACCTGGTATATTGCTCTTGGCTTCCCAAAGGGACAATTTTTAAAGCCACATCATATCTACAGCCATTGTTCCCAGTACCAAAGGTTATCTGTTGTTCCAAGGTCGTTGGGGGTTAGAGAGGGGTCAGAGTCCAGCATCAGCCACACACTATGCCAGGACAAAATCTGCTTCCTGATGTGGCATGCAGGCCACCACTCCAGAGTTCCCTAAAGGAACATTCCTCTTCTGAGTCTTTGAGATATCCTTTCCTACCAGCTGACTTCCATCAGTGAGAAAGGTTCTAATTATGCTAAACTTCAAAATAGGAAAGAGGTGAGATCCAATGCCCTTGATACTTTCCCAGACAGCTGGCTATACATAGAGGGGGTAGTTTGGGGGAAGAAGGTCCCTTATCAAGCCACAAAGTGCTTAGGTCACATATCTGCAAGAGCAGTAAGTGCCCAATTGTCCTGTATTTGAATAAAGAGGGACCACCGTGGTGATTCTTTTCCCAAGAATCTTGGGTATCTTGTTAACTCTACTTAAATGTCTGGAGCGGATTTCTTTTAGATGGCAACTCTTTTCACTGGGAAAAAAAAAAAATTCCACATACCAAGACTTTATTTAGTGGACTTTGATTTTAAAATAAAAATTTAACACAATGTGCAGGTCCTCAGGAATGGAGTCTCCAGGATACCTAACAAGATTTCATGTTTTGACCTAACAGATTAGAATTGCACATAGAATTTTTATTCTTGGAACAATGTATCATAGAATCACCCCTTCTTGAGGGTTGGAAAGAAACTATTAAAAAGTGTCTTACCTCAGGCGCCTAGGTGGCTCAGTTGGTTAAGCGACTGCCTTCGGCTCAGGTCATGATCCTGGAGTCCTGGGATCGAGTCCCGCATCGGGCTCCCTGCTCAGCGGGGAGTCTGCTTCTCCCTCTGGCCCTCCCCTCTCTCATGCTCTATCTCATTCTCTCTCTCAAATAAATAAATAAAATCTTTAAAAAAAAAAGTGTCTTACCTATCTTTGGATCTTTTGTCTAACCAATCCTGGCTATATAAAATGGTATGAACTCAAGCAATCAGACAACATGCTTTATGCCGCATTCTTAAAAAAAGAATAACTTGAGGGGCACCTAGGCGGCTCAGTCGTTAAGCGTCTGCCTTCAGCTCAGGTCAAGATCCCAGTGTCCTGGGATCGAGCCTCACATCGGGCCCTGGGCTCGGCGGGAAGCCTGCTTCTCCCTCTCCCCCTGCTTGTGTTCCATTTCTCACTGTCAAATAAATAAAATCTTTAAAAACAAAACAACGAGTAACTTCATCCCCAACCAAATTAGACAAATTTTACCATGTAAAAATCTGTCTTCCATGATACATCTATAAGAAAATATATTCCTACTTCCATCATGCACATTCAGCTGCTTTTAAGGTTACAGATCATTCAAATATGTAGAGTAAGAATAGAGTTTACTAGGTGTTAAGCATTGCTCTTAGGGCCTTAATATTAACTCATTTAACCTTCACAACTATCATCATACTATCATTACCCCCAATTTCCATATCAATTTAGGCCTAGAGAGGTTAGGTAACTTGACCAATGTCTCCCAGCTGGTGACAGAACTAGAAGTGCAGACCCAAGCATTATCTGGTTCTAGAGTATATGATCTTGACCTTTATAGATATTGGTGATTAATTCAGTGTTAAGAACCAACTTTATTCAAGGCATTGAGGTAAACACTGTAGGGAATTAAAAATAGTATTTGGGGGCACCTGGGTGGCTCAGTCGTTAAGCGTCTGCCTTCAGTTCAGGTCATGATCCCAGGGTCCTGGGATCGAGCCCCGCATCGCGCTCCTTGCTCTGCGGGAAGCCTGATTCTCCCTCTCCTACTCCCCCTGCTTGTGTTCCCTCTCTCGCTGTGTCTCTGTCAAATAAGTAAATAAAATCTTTAAAAAATAAAATAAAAATAGTATTTGGTCCCTCCTCTCAAGAAGCCCTTATTTTTGTTGTTGCAGCTGTGGGCTATTATTCCCCATCAACCTGAACCTTCTTCACTTTGTCCCATCACCCTGCCTATGGTGTTAGGTTCTAGCGTTTTATGGCAGAACCACACACTTAAAGAATTGAGCAAGATCTTAAACCTCAGTTGAGTATCCTCATTTTACAGATTTGAAAAATGAAATCCAGAGAAAGGTCTTATTCGAAGTCACAAGGTTAATGATCAAATGTAACTAGAAAGGCAATTTGTCTCCTAATCAATAATGTTCAGGGGCACCTGGCTGGTTCTGTCGTTAAGCGTCTGCCTTCAGCTCAGGTCAAGATCCCAGGGTCCTGGGATCGAGCCCCGCGTTGGGCTCCCTGCTCGGCGGGGAGCCTGCTTCTCCCTCTCCTCCCCACTTGTGCTCTCGCTATCTGACTCTCTTTCAAATAAATAAAGTCTTAAAAAAATAATGTTCGTGAAATTGTAAGTTAAATTTGTATAAGCTTAACTATAAACTCTTAAGTGGAGATTTCTTTTAATTTTTTTTTTTTTTTTTTTTTTTTTTAGATTTTAGTTATTTATTTGACAGAGACAGAGACAGCGAGAGCAGGAACACAAGCAAGGGGAGTGGGAGAGGGAGAAGCAGGCTTCCCGCAGAGCAGGACCAACCAACTGAGCCATCCAGGCGCCCTTAAGTGGAGATTTCTGTTTAAAGGAGTCAGTAAAATATTCCATGTAGGCAATTATTTTATAAAATGAATAACCATCTACCACCATGCCAACCAGGTTTTTTATAAATCTTGATATTCATATACTGGGTTTGGTGAAATTAGAAAAAAAACTGTGGTTGTCCTATTAGCTGGCAAATTAAAAATTCCCTAATACTATGGGTAAGACAGTGAATATCATTAAGAGGAAAACGTTCAAAGTTTTAGGCTCCATACAGTTATAAGATTCATACTTCAAACCAATAGATATTTCAGGGTCAAAAGTTTAACCTATGATAAAATAGCAGCAGCTAACAGTGAGTATGGACTATGTGCCAGGTACTGTTCTAAGTAAGTACACTGAAGTATGATCTCATTTAATTCTGTGGAATTCTGAACATGAGAGACTCCATTTTGAAGCTTCATTTTCCTTTCTAACTAGTGAATTCTTGAACTGGGCCAAAAGTGGCAACTTTTTTACAAGGAGTTGCTAAACAGAACAACTGGCATTAGGACCATAAAACTGTTGGTATGAGCTTTATGAAGACAGAATAGTTAACTAAAACATACTAAGATTAGTTTCGTTTGATAGCACCAATTAAAGTCAGAGTAATCAAAAGCAGCTCAGCTAACAGGGTTTTATTTTTCTCTATCAAAATATTACCCCAATTCTTTCTCAGAATAACCTCTCGTCTTCCCCACATGAGTGGGACACTTTTCCAGTTGCTAACACAATCTGTGCTCTCTGAATTGCAATTCGGAGACCCCAAATAAAAAGCCTTTGTTTCTTATTCGTTTTCGCCTCCTTTTCTTGGTTGACAATTCCCACAACAATTTGACAGAATTCACATTACCTCCATTTTTTTTTTTTTTTTTTTTTAGACAGGGAAACTGGACTATAGGAAGATTCATTTGCCTATAACTACAAGGTAAGAAAATGTCAGAAGCAGAATTATTTAGAGAGATATTTCTCATTACTGATACCCATACTATCTTTGGAGAAGAGTGCAAACTCAAACTAGATACTAAAATTGCCACTGATCATTCAAAAGTGGTATAAAACAAGCACACTAGTCCTCTGGGGCCTAAGTTAGTGCTTTAGCCCTTTGAGTAAGCACATAGGAAATGTGCTAGACATGGGGAGTATCAAAATGAATATTGTTTATACTAATATACTGTTTATATATTATGATTGTAGTTCTCATGTTCAAGGATTTATAGCAAAACAGAATATGACCGGAACACAAATAGTTGTAAAACAAGCCAAGTTGGCTAAATATGAAATATAAAAAAAAAAATTGAGAATTTAGAGAAAATTTCACTTACAAGTTGTTAAGTGGGATTAGCAAAAGCTTCATGGCAAGGCTGACCCTTGAGCCAGGCCTGCAGAAGTAGTCAGAATTTAGAGGAGGCCCGCCCCTCAGGTTGTAGGAACAGTGTGAACAAAGGCATATTCATGAGATACCAAGTCATCCAGCTTGAATGGAGCAAAGGCTGTGTGTAAAGAAGTGGGAGTGGAGATACAACTGGAAAGTGAGAATGAAGTCAGATAGTAATAAAGAAATGGCTCACTAAGGAATACAGACTTTATTCAAAAGGCAAAAAAGGGCGCCTGGGTGGCTCAGATGGTTAAGCGTCTGCCTTCGCTTCAGGTCATGATCCCGGGATCCTGGGATTGAGTCCCACATCGGGCTCCCGGCTCAGCGGGGAGCCTGCTTCTCCCTCTGACCCTCTCCCCTCTCATGCTGTTTCTCTCTTGCTCGCTCTCTAAAAAATAAATAAAATCTTTAAAAAAAAAAAAAAAGGCAAAAAAGCTTGTAGCAGGGAAGATACATAATCAAAGTTAGATTTTAGGAAGATTAATCTGACAGTGATTGGAGAGTGGACAGAGGGGACAAAAGCTAGTTAAAGGTTTAGGGAAGCAATAATACAGGGCAGAAAAAAGTGGTATTACTTTCTGGAAATGAGAGATTGATGAAAAGCTATTATAGGAAATTTTCTGTAGGAAATAACTGGACTATAAAGGAGAGAATGAAGGAAGAAAGGAGCAAAGGGGGAAGACCCTGTGTTTCAGGATAAATGGTAATGTCTTTAGTGACACATGTGCTAGACAAGAGGAAGTACAGTTATGAGAGCAGAGGCTACATTTAAGACCAAAAAAAAAAAAAAAAAGACATTGATTCTGACGAGCCAATGAGAGATCCAAGTAGGAATTTACATATTCATTCACTGTGTGAGCATTTACTGACTGCCTATTACATGGAGAGCCCTTCCATAAATACTTGGGATATATCACAGTCACTAAAGGATTATTTATTGCTCTCTCCTGTTTATGAGACCATAATAAAGTGTCATATTCAAATTCAACTCTATAAAAAAGTTCCAAACCAACACAGTTTAAAAGTGGTTTCCTTCCTCTGAATGTCTGCACATTTAACTGTCTGTACTACTCATGGGGTGTTTGTCACTCCCCTAGTGTCAGGTTTTCAATTACATCATAAGTATATTGAAAACAGGCATCATTTTAGATATTCTTTGAATCTCTCACAGTACCTCATTCAGAGTAGGAATTCAGTAGTCCTTTAATTGTTAGGGATTTCTTTCTCCTTTTATCTTCTATGATAAGGATACATATTTTCTTAGCCTTGTAGAACAGAAAGGAACAGTAACATTTCACATCCAAAACACATGACCACTGTAAAAGGAGCCACAGAAGCTAAGTTGGTCTTGGACTGTGAAAAAGAGCTGAATAATGGCAAGGGCTAAGAAACTAGCGTCCCATTTTTGGTAGGAACTTTACAAACAGGAAGAGGCAGCACAGAAATGTTAGCAAAAGAGTACCCAAACAACAAACCCAGAGCAGGAACTAAGACATCCAATAAAGGCACCTCTAGGTTAACTATTTTTAGAAACATTCTGAAAGTCAAATAAATCCCTACAGACATTAAAACTCAGAGTTCTATTTATTCTCTCCAAGAAGTTTGTTTTTTCAGGTATTTTATACTTGACTATTCCAAATGATAAGTATAAAAAGGTATATATAATTTTAGAAACAGGAATATGAAATATGAAATGAAATGATAACCCTAACATCCTACTGTACATATAAGAACTGGCAAACATCAGGGCACCTGAGTGGCTCAGTCGGTTAAGCACTTGCCTTCGGCTTGAGTCATGATCTCAGGGTCTGGGATTAAGCCCCATGTTGGGCTCCCTGCTCAGCGGGGAGCCTGCTTCTCCCCCTCTTTCTGCCTCTGCCACTTCCCCCTGCTTGTATTCTCTGTCAAATAAAAATCTTAAAAAAAAAAAAAATTGGCAAACATCAGTATCAAGGCCAGTAACACTAAAGTGCAAGTTATCTAAATGACCAAATGATATCTCCTTCTAGAAGCAGAACAAAGAAATAGACCTCACTCCTCCTGGGCATGTGCAGGTCATTATAAATCCAAAGCCTATGTTGTGCCTCCTGTGATGCCAAAAGCTGTGTCAAAAGAAATCCATAAAATGACATAAGAAAAAAATTGTGTAACTGCCCCCGAGAATTATTGGCAAAGGTCTCTTTCACACTGCAATTCAATACTGCAACCAAATGCACATCAGTAGAATAAGCATTCAGGACATTTGAATCAATATGCATTGATACCTTGAAAAGACAGTCTTTTCTTTAAGCACTTTAAAGTTATTTCTTGAGTCTTGCCTACCTTCAGAATCCCATAGCTAAACAGTCAAATTTGTCATTCCATCTTTATCTGTCGCAAGGTTTCAGATTAGGTTTTTGTCACATTCACCACTTGCAGGAGTTTAAGATCTTCTAATTGCAAGAAGAGATAGCTGGAGTTTGGCCAATCTTCTCCATAACTTGATCTTACAATGACAGTTTCTTCAGTCTTTATGAAAAATAGCATTTCAGTCTTTTATATATTCAGAACACTGAGAAATGACTTCCTTGCTTCTCCCAGAGTCACGAACGACAAAAGCAGGGCAATAACAAGTTTGCTAATCGTTTTGAAAGTTTAAATAAGTCACATATGCAAAACCATTAAAAAAACTAAAGAACATTCTTCATACAGGTTCAAGTGACAGTCTGAGGTTGTTAGGTAAGTTGTTTTTGCTTTACCAAAGTCTAGTAGGAGGGACTATTGTGCTTTTCAAAATACGAAGCTATCTGATGAGTAACAACTTATTTAACCTGTAGTTAAGAGAATGTAAAAGCCATAGCAGAAACCTCCACTCTTTCCTCCGGACTTCTCATTTCTACTAATGAAGAAACAGCCTCCCATTTACCTGAATTTAAAACCTTAGTGTCATTTTTGAAATTCTCTTTCTTCCTAAGGAAAACCCACACTAAAAGCAGTCACATCCAAAAATCTAAAAGAGATATTGGGGAGGCCTATAAATAAGTATTACTATTTTATTCATTCAAGTCAAAATCAAAATATTTACTGAACATATTTGCTGGAGCACTGAGCTAGGAGCTGGGTATACAATGGTAATCAATTCAGATGTGGTCTCTGCCCTCTTGGAGCTTAGTCACTAACTGCTTATTGTCTCTTAGAAAACTACAGTGCTCAGGGGTACCTGGGTGGCTCAGTCAGTTAAGCATCGGAACTTGATCTCAGCTCAGGTCTTGATCTTGTGGTTGTGAGTTCGAGCCCCTACTTAAAACAAACAAACAAAAACTGCAGTTCTCATAGATCAGCCTTGTAGCATCCTTAGGCTGATAATAGTTTTCCTACAACTCTAAAGAGTGATTGTTACCAGGCAAAAACTGAAACTGTTTTTGAGGTCCTTAAGTGGTAAAAAGAAATTTCCTGGATGATTACCAGATAAGCTTGGAAACCTAGGGAAAGCAGATGGCTGGATCCATGGCCAAAGGTACAACCTAGTTACAGGGCCAACACTCCTGGACATTGGGATGGCAACACAGTGGAGCATAGGAAGGCCACTGGCACTAATTCTAATCTCTTACTCCTTCCTAAAACACTATTCCCTATTCACATTCAATTAACTCACCTTAGGTCATATGCCTGTGTATTATGAGAAATAAGGAAAATATCAGGCTTTTTTGGATTTCAAGCCACAGACTCACGAACCCTCTTGTATTTCCCAAACAAGATGCTAGGCCAAAAAAATAAAATTTTAAAAAGAAAAGAAAACTGAGCCTATACATCTAGTAGTCTCCAAACATACAACCATTTCAGCGGATCCTTCATGTAATCATGACACAATCTTCATCAAATGCAACTCTGATGGTTAGGTATTAAGTATTTTAGATTATAAAATATTTGCCCCCTTTTTGACAAATTGTCAAACCAATTTCTAATGGACATTTTTATAGGTTTTTAAATATTCCATTTATATAGGCTAATCTTTCAAATGCAAGAGATTCTCTATTTTGTACCTCGTTTCCTTGTACCACATTAGGAAAAACATGACACATTGTACCAATATTGAAAACAGGGAATGCAACTAATGTTTCTGCAGTACCTCAGTTAAATTCCCAGGGAACTTGCCTCATTTACAATGACAAAACAAAACAGACATAAAACAAGAACTTTATGAACCCCAAGCTATTTTTACACTTGTATGACTAAATATCTTAATTCGTAATTTTTGTTTCCCAGGTCACGGGTGTGAAGTATACAAATTTTGTCCCCCTTTCTATCAACAACCTTTCCCTTTCCTCACATTCTCCAAGCCTTCTCCTCTCCTTACTTGAAAACAGCCAGGAATAAAACCTGACAAATCTGGGAGAAAGCTGATACTCCTATCATTTGCATGTATTTACTGGCTGATTACATTTAAACTGAGGTATATATCATAGTGGTATTACAAATACTTACCTAACACATCCTCCCCCCCCACCCATTTTTTTGGGTTTCTACTTAGAATTCTAATTGTCTATAAGCAGGTGGAAAGATACTAGGGTTGGGTGGGGCAGTCAAACCCTAAAATTTCATTAAGCATCCTCAACTGAAAGCCCTAAAAGAAAGCCTGAGAAAATGGTCTGATTTCAAAGTAGTTTAGAAATGAGAAGCTAGAGAGACTTTCTTACCCACGATCTTGTTCTCTAGGTGACTGCTCATGCTGGAACCCCTGGTCCCTACAGTCTGAGGATGCTGGTACCTGTGTGTCTCCTCTAGACTAGTTTGCTACACTACCTGGGACCTGATCTAACTTACCACTGCTTTGCCTGTTGACATGAGTCTGTCCCTCCATGCTGCTTTGTCTTTTCTCTGTCTAATCACTGACAAGACCTCTTCTTCATTCTCCCTGGGTGTAACTCAATTTCTGCCCATCTTACCTCCTCTCTTCTCAACCCCCATTGCTGTTTTTCCTGGTATATTTAACTGTAGTTCAATTCATGAGGCATGTGTTCATCACCTACTTTATGTAAGTATTTATGACAGATGTTAAGGTCTGTATTAAAACTTTCTGGCATCTAGGAATATGTTTAAGGATTATTTCTACTTCCGGCCTTGTAGTTTCTAATAAAAGAACCACTGGAACATCTATATTTACTGCCTATCTACTCATTTGGCACGTGCTACACAGCTTTGTATTATAAGTATGCATATATCTCACTATATCCACCATGGCAATTACAATCAAATTCTTCTATTTAGTAGGTACTCAATTACCTTAATAAATGAACATATAAGTAGCTGACAGAAGTCAGAAGTTATCTCCATTCCTTGCATGAAAATAAGAGATGAACATTCTGAGTTTAATTCCTTTATTTAATTATACGTAAAGCTACTATATATGTCTATGACAAATAAGATAGAAAAGGGACAAAGCCTTCCCCAAAAGAACAAAAAGGGAAAAAGAACAAATTATTTCTATTCTATATGGTAGTACTTTGTTGAGTACTGATGGGATAGATCAGTCAGAAGCATTCATTTTAATGTGTAGGTAAAATATAATTCCTTTTGGTATGTATTTTGCTTTGATATACAAAGATACTGTAATGAAGTTGTGCTACCTCATCTTATTCTCATTTGTAATACATTTACATAAACAAAAAAGGTAAATCCTACTGGAGGAGGACCTTTATCAGAGATATGCCCCAATGCAGTTAGAGGACACCAAGAAAAATCAATCCTCTTCCTAGGCCTGAGATTCCTCATCTAAAAACTTAGAGTGAATGAGATGGTCTCCAAGTTTCTACGATTCATGTACACACATCAATTTTTACATCTGGATATAGAGTTAAGGCTATATATCCTGGCTTCATGATGCAAGGCTTGGCCAGGGTACTTGCTTAAAGCAAAAATAATATATGTATCTTCTAAAAGCCATCTCTTTCTTCCTCTGCCTTAGAAGTGGCAACGTCCCAACATCTCACATTAACTAAATGAAATACACCTTTTTTGTTGTTACTAAGCACAACCTAATAAAAATTAAAGGTAAGAATTTGCTAATTACTGAATGTCCATTCAGTTAAACTTTAACACACAAAAATTCAAATTTAACAGAAAACTGATGAATTATGACATAATGGAAATCAGTTAAAAAGCAACTTTTAAAAACATATAGAGTATTTGTAGTAAAAGAAATTGACTTTACATAAAATTTTCCTCATCATTTCCGGCTTGAATCCTTACAAGACTATTCCAAATAAGAATCAACATTTTTTAGAAATTGTTCTTCATCATTAAGATATTCCAAGATAATATTTCCACCATTATATAAAGGACAATCCTCCTTAGCAATCCAGGTTTCCAAAGTATGATCCAAGGGTAAGGCTTCTCCTGAAGTAATGTGACATAACCTTAATTTCTGTTAAGGGAAATAAATCATACTGTAATAAACAAACATGCTGGTATACAGTATCCTAAAGCTTTTAGAGAAAAATTATAACCAGTTGTTACCTTAGCTGTTAATTTGTTATTATCATTTTTAAGACTGGTTAAAGAAGCTGCAAAGTCTATGACCTTTCCAATGCTCCATCGGTGGCAAAAGAACATTGGTTTGCTCTTCTCTTTGCTCCCCTTAGGTAAGAAAACCTGAAAGTAAACTCTTTCTTTCTGTAAAGATAAAAAGTTAAAATACAGATTACACATTATATACATATACACACACACACACACATACACACACATATACACATATATATATACATATATGTATATATATATGTGTGTGTATATATATATAAAATAGAGAGCATCTGTTTTTGTTTGGTGACCTGTCTTCCTCTCTTCTCCTAGTTAGAGGATTACCCTCTAATGATGGATCTTTTAGTGGGAATACCAATCACAGTACCCAAGAATCCACCTAAATGCATATGCATAGGACCTAAGGCTCTAGGCTAGGGTGGTCTGTGCAAAGACAAGCATGTGACATAAAATTAGGCCAATCAAGGTCCTTTCCCGGGATTTGATGTTCAAGAACTAGGAGAAGGGAGGAGCCTTTTTTTTTTTTTTTTTTTTTTTTAGAGTTTATTTTTTTGGGACACCTAGGTGGCTCAGTCAGTCAAGCATCTGCCTTCAACTGAGGTCATGATCCCAGAGTCCTGGGATTGAGCCCCACATTGGGGTCCAGCCCCACATCGGGCTCCCTGCTCAGCAGGGAGCCTACTTCTCCCTTTCCCTCTGCCTGCTACTCCCCCTGCTTGTGTTCTGTCAAATAAATAAAATCATTAAAAAAGGGGGCGCCTGGGTGGCTCAGTTGGTTAAGCAACTGTCTTCGGCTCAGGTCATGATCCTGGAGTCCCGGGATCGAGTCCCGCATCGGGCTCCCTGCTCAGCGGGGAGTCTGCTTCTCCCTCTGACCCTCCCCGCCTCATGCTCTATCTCATTCTCTCTCTCAAATAAATAAATAAAATCTTTAAAAAAAAAACAACAAAACTTTAAAAAAGAAAAAATTTAAAAGCTATAGCCTCACCAAAAACAAACAAAAAACAAGCACCCTTGAGGATCAAAATGAAACAAACACAAACAAGTGACAGGTAGGGAGACTGAGCCACAGACTTTCAAAGTCTGAGAAGAGGAAGTAGCAGTCAAGAGCTCAGCTGTGGGTTAGTGGGAAACAATAGTACCACATGGAGATGAAGTACTGGGATCCGGCGCACTGCCTGGAAGCAGAAGCTAGCATGGGGCTTGTGCTGCAGTAAAGGACGCTGAAGAAGGTACTGCTGAATGCTGACTTAAGCTACTGCTTACAAGAAATAATATTCAGGAAGGCAGAGAAGCACAGATAGAACCTCTTGACAGTGAGCAAAGCCAAGGTCTTCCAACTCAGTAAGTGGATCCACAATAATCTGAAAATCTCTGTAGAGCAAAAGCACAAACTGCCAATCTCAAACCTGGATTGTAATGGAAATCCTGAGTAAATGGGCCAGTGGAAGAAAATGCAAAATTGCCAGAGAGGGAGAGATGAGTGACCAGTGAGCAATATAGTAAGAACCTCCTACTTAAGACAGACATGTGGAATCTATAAATGGAAATTCAAAACAAAGGTTAACTTACTATGGGCAGATGAACTAACTGAACTTGAAAAAGATACTTTTATGGACATATCCATAAAAAAAAGGAAAAAGAAGGTACGAATCAAAAATAGGCAGAAATGAAACAAGGCAAGCTATGAAGATCCAATGAGAAATTTAAAAATTTTTAAATATAGTTTCTGAAATAAATTCAAACAGGAGAAATTTCAATAATATTCAGTAAAAAGGTTTAACTGATTGGAAGATGTATTTGAGAAAGTCCTCTAGAATGCAGCACAAATAGACCAAGATAGAAATTATAAATCCCAAAAATGTCTAACAAGTTAAAAGAAGGAAGCAATATCAGAAATAATGACTAATTTTCCAAAAGTAAAAAAAAATAAGTCAAATTAAAAATGTACTTCCAGGGCCAACCTAAGCAATCAAAACAAATCCATATGTAGAAACATTGTATTGAAATTGGTATCATAGATAAACTCTTAACTACCAAAAAAAGACGGATTACCCATAAAGCAACAAGACTAACATGTTTCCTCAGGAATAAACAGGGGCCAATGAATAGTGTATTAAGAGAGTTGAGAGAGTCTAACGGACAATCCAGTTCAAGTGAGGGCAAAATAAGGGCATTTTCAGAAGGCTGAAAGTTTACCAGTGAAGACTTTTTTTTTTTTTTTTTTTTTTAAAGATTTTATTTATTTATTCAAGAGAGACAGAGAGAGAGGCAGAGGGAGAAGCAGGCTCCCAAGGAGCAGGGAGCCCGATGCGGGACTCGATCCCAGGACGCTGGGATCATGACCTGAGCCGAAGGCAGACGCTTAACCATCTGAGCCACCCAGGCGCCCGCCAGTGAAGACTCTTAATGAATGAACTTAGCCAAAATAAAAGTGAGTCCTAAGGAAGGAGAAATTCAAAAACTATGTTGGTAAATTTGAACAGCTACTGACTTAAAAAGCATGTGTGAACAAAGATGTATGAGACACACTCAACTGGAGAAAGCATGTTAAACTCGTCTTATTCAAGAGGATACAATATAAGTAACTTTAGACTCTGAAAGAAAAGGAGGTAGTTATATATTTTAAAAATTAAAAATGTAAGCACATGCCTATTATTGCATTATAAAACATTACAATGAAGATTCTAGATAATACAGTACAAAAAAATGAATTAGGTAGTATAATTATTGAAAAATTAAAATTAAAACTATCCTTATTTGTTAATGGGGTGTGATTATTTACCTAGGAAATGAAGGCAAAGAAAAAAAAAAAATCAAAGAATTTGGTGATGTGACTGAATAAGATGAACAAACAGAAAACACCTTTTCTCTATATTAGCAGTAAGTACCTGGATATAGAGATAGGTGGAAATATTCTGTTCACAACAGAAACAAAACCCATGAGATAATTAGGGATGAAAATAAGGAATAAAATTTAAATGAAAAACATAAAATGTTAAAGACAAAACAGGAGCTAAATAAATGAAAAGACTTCTAGGAATCTTAGACAGGAAGACAATGTTTTGTATCATACAGTGCGAATCCAAAGTGAATCCTTCAGGAATGATTTCAGTCAGGACTTGCTAATAGTCCAAACTTGCTGGGAAAGTGAGTTTTACTTTACCTAACTTCACAGAAATCACTAGATAACGTATTGATGGACCTTTTACATCAGTTACTTACACCTAGTGAGCAGGGAGGAAGCCAGAATCTCCACTACAAAGAGGAAGAGTTCAAGAGGGTATGAAATCCTCCTGAGAATAGCAAAGGGGGCTTCTCAAGAATGGCCAAATTTTTACATCCTGTGGGCACTATTATTTACAGCTTATATTCTTGTGGGAAACTGGGGGACATGGGAAGCCACATATCTAAGATCATGCTGTGTTCTCTCTTGCTATTTATGATTTCTGTCAGTTTCTCCATTTCTCCTTCAAAGAGCCTAAAATCTTTAAAGTTGCCTCCTGGAATCTGTCACTCAAAATCCTGTCCCATCAAGACAACCATGAAAATCCTAAGAGGTGTTTGTTTTGTTTTTGTTTTAGTATAGTTGACATACAACGTTACATTAGTCTAAGTGTACAGCATAGTGATTTGACAAGTTTATACATTATGCTATGCTCACCACAAGTATAGCTCCCATCTGGCCCCATACACTGCTATTACAGTATCATTGACTGTATTCCTAATGCTGTGCCTTTTATTCCCATGACTTATTCATTCCGTAACTGGAAGCCCGTATCTCTCACTCCCCTTTACCCATTTTGGCCAAACCCCCAACCAGAAAGTTTTTTTAATTTGAATATAATAAGGATGAATAATATGGGTGAATAAAGAATAAAACTGCTAAGAAAAAATATAGATGGGACTTACATTACCATTTTAGAACATTCTATAAAGCTATTGCATCAAATCAATTTGGTACAGAAAAATGAGTAAAAAATGAGTGGAATAAGTAGGAAATCCAAAAATAGATCCAATAAACATAAATCTTAAACCTATTATGAATTGAAATACCAAATATCACCTTCAATAGGAGAAATGATTTAATAATTGGTGATGACAAAACTAGCTAAAAAACTGGAAGAAAATAAAACTGGGTCCTTAGCTCACAGTATATGCTAAAAACAAATTCCAGATGGATTAAAGACAAATGCAAGATGCAAAAAAAGTAAAAATCCTAAAGAAAACCAAAGCAGGGAAAAAAAAACAGACCTTAGAAAAAATTAAAACACTGATATGTCAATGAGATACGTAAGTGAAATATATTTGATAGATTTTGGAAAAAATTTCCAAAGCAGATTATAGATTTTACAAAAATTAACATCTATTATATTCTAAGTTTCCATAAGCTGACCAAACAAAATAAAGACATGAGAATGGGTAAATGGACAACCAAAGAGAAAAATGATCAAAGGATATGCATGGGTGATTAAAAGAAGAGCAATTACACATGGCCAACATATTAAAAGATGCTCAAGGGACGCCTGGGTGGCTCAGTCGGTTAAGCGTCTGCCTTCGGCTCAGGTCATGATCCCGGGGTTCTGGGATTGAGCCCTACATCGGGCTCCTTGCTTGGTGGGGAGCCTGCTTCTCCCTCTCCCTGCTGCTACCCCTACTTGTGCTCTCTGACAAATAGATGAAATCTTTAAAGAAAAAAACACTCAAACTGAACAGTGTAAAGGACATGCAAATTAAAGCAATTAGATCTTTTTATAGCCATTAGACTGGAAAACATTCAAAAGGATGGTAACAGCTACTGCAAACCAGGGGAAGAGGAAAGGGCACTCTCATTCTAGCCACAAGAGGCAGTATATTAAACTGGGTAGGTTGGCAGCCTCATCCCCTGAGTGATCTTCAGATTATTCATCTGTGAAATGAGGATATAGACTATTCCAATACTTCCAGTTATGGAATATACCAGGAGAGTTGTGAGTATGAGAGATAAAAAATTTAAAGGTAAGGAAATTGGGCTTTATTGGATATGTAAAAGAAGATCTGAGAAGAATTTTAAGCAGAGCAATAACATGACCTAATTTATACTTTTAAGATTTCTCTGGCTGCTGCATCAAAGCTAGCTTGTGGGAAAG